TCCTTCACTTCCCCCAACCTGATGATGTATGTATCTTCTGCTTACTATGGATGAGAAAACAGACACTCTAATAAACTAATTAAAGTACATGCCTTTGCGGGGCGGGGGGAAGTGGGGAAGAGTCCCAGCTTATTTCTTTTTTTTTTAAAGATTTTATTTATTTATTTGACAGACAGAGATAACAAGCAGGCAGAGAAGCAGGCAGAGAGAGAGGAGGAAGCAGGCTCCCTGCTGAGCAGAGAGCCTGATGCGGGGCTCGATCCCAGGACCTGAGATCATGACCTGAGATCATGACCTGAGCCAAAGGCAGAGGCTTTAACCCACTGAGCCACCCAGGTGCCCCAGCCCTGGTTTATTTCTTGATACAACTTTCTTTCTCTCCCTGTCGAATGTTCTGAAAGACCATGAGCTTAGAGGTCATTGTGACTCTCAGAACATGGTTCTTAATGATGAAGCTGTGTTAGGTGCATTAAACGTAGCATGCACTCAGGAAAACTTCACCAAATTAAGTCATTCATTAAACAGGATCCAAACCATCTCTGAGTTGCAATCATCAAAAATACTTGTCTATTACAATGTTGAAGAGAGAGCAAACATGAAAGCGAAAGAGAAAAGGGGTCTGTTTTTCAGTGCATTCTTATGTAAGAAAAGGCTTTAAACATGAATTCACATATATTAATGAGAAATCGGTGAGGCCAGCTGCTGACGTCAGTAAACTCAGCCCTCTGTAATCACACGGCTACTGCTTCTGTGAGAATTCTGCAAGAATTCCAGACGTTGCCAGATAATTTCTGACAAACACATGTTGTTAATGATAATTTAGAGGATGCCAGGCCTTTTTTCTTTCTTCCTTTCCTTTTTTTAAACTTTACATACATCTGCTCAAAATATCTAGATTTGGTGGCCAATTATAGAAGCCGTTTCACAGAAATCTGGTGAAATAATGTCATTTTTAGCCTTCACTCTCAGCGATGGCCTCAAATGATTAGACATGCAATTCTGAAGTTGATTTATGGAAGATGGAGGCCAATTCTCTGGCCCTGGGCCTGAACGCTGGGATGGCAGAAACCCATACTGGAAAAATTTAGTTTTCCGAGTAGATGAGGGTGATTAATGGAGAGGTTCTTCTCAAATTGGGCTCCTAAGAGTAAGCTGCTGTGCTCCCTGAAGCTGAAAATGGAATACAGGGACTGATTATTCCTAGCACCAAATGATTACAGACACTGGCTTGAATTTCACCATCATAATAGGTAAAGCAAAACAATAAAAAACACCCAGACTTAATGAAAAGAAAATACAAACTCTATACACTGAGAGCAGAGACGTGTTTGTCTAACTTAGGCCACTAATTCATGGAAAAAATCCATTGAGGGCAATTTAAGTAAAAGGAAAATTAAGTTAAGTGGTTTTCATTTTTTGGTCTACAGAGAAATAAATCAATATTTTGCTCACTGACTTTAGAAATTAAGAACAGAGAGCAAAAATCTACAAAAACGTAAAACCAAAATTAGTAAATTAAATACAAGCTAAAATCACAGTAAATAAGTAGATTCCAGTTACTAGATTATATCTTAAAAGCTCTTTAGAAGTACATCTTGATTTTATATTACTACCATTTGGGGTGAGTGTATGTGCGAAAATGGGCAGTACAAGACGAAGCCAACACAAATGAAAAAGACAGCCGTGTAGCAACCACAAGTGCCCAAAGAGATAAGGCATCAGATCAAGTTATTATGAGAACAAAGAGATGAAGACACATCAAGAAAGAGAAAGAGATAGGGAAATAGAACAGAAAGCGCAAAACAGACAGGTATATACAGTATCACAAAAAGACAGAAGAAGGAGAGCTAGAAAGACAAACATTTTCTTGTTTGTTTCACAAATATTTACTGAGGCAAAAACAGATCCAGAAAATGGGAGAAGCAGACAGGAGAAGCTCTGTAGGTCTTTGACCTTGACCATGTAAACTCTTGCTGTTGACCGAAATTGTACAAAATTGTTTCCTTTGTTTTTTGGAGCACAAAATCCCTGTGCCAGATACCAAGGGAGACAAAGGGAGGAATAAGATAGACTGACTCCCTACCCTCTAAGGACTTATTTAAAAGCTGAACTGGGCATATGAGTAAACTATCTACTGGTTTCAACATTCTTTGAAATGATGAACTAGCCGGGAATTGAAAACAGACCTTTCCACAGTGGCAGGCAGGATTTCTGCTTTGACTTTTCAATTTAGATTATAAAGGTTTTACAGAATTATGGAGAAATACAGAACTTTCCTTTTGCACCTTCGGACGTCAGAGGCATAAATAACCAGGAGGGGAATTTCTTTGGTATGCAAAGTTGCTTGGCGGCCTAATCTTTGTCCTTGGAGAAATCAGTCTTGCTTCATTACCTGGTATCTGGGAGTTATTTGAAACCATTTCTTACTTTTTTTCTTTTTTAAATTCAATGCTATTTTTGGCTCAGTTGGGTCTTAGTGGGAAAGAGCAATCGAAACAAAATTGTAACATCTTTCACTTCCCACTTCCCAAAAAACCAACTCCCGAAACAAACCTACTTTTTTGAAAAAATAAACAAATAACTCCCATTTAGACCTACAACTAAAGCAGCCCTGCCCTTTAGAAATAGAAGGAGAGCCTGTTGTAAATTTGGGGGGGAGCTATACTCTAAAAAGATTAAAAGATAAAATTAATTTTGATAACATACTGTGGGTATGTAAATACAAAATACTACATTGTATGCATGTAAAATACCACTTCAACATGTAACCAATATATAATTTATTGAGATATTTTGTATCATTTTTTCCTCCTAAGTTGTTGAAATCAGTGGATATTTTAGACTTGTAGCATATCTCAATTTGGACTAGCCGCACCTCAAGTGCTCAATGGTCACATGGTTACCATACTGGATGGCAATGATCTGAAATGCAGCTTCTCTGTGGATTGTGTATCCATTCCAATTATTAGCTCCACCAAAACCCAACCAGATTACAACAAAATCTACAAGGCAATTTTTGCTTTCTAAGCTCCCTGAATACTGTGTTTTAACTGGCCTTGAGGTGTTTACCTTTTGGGCATTAAGAAAGCAAGTTGAAGTGTGTGTGTATACGGACTGGAGAAGGTATGGCTTCCTTACTTAAGTAAAACAACCAGTTCACCAGAAGTTAAGAAGGAAAATTCTAGGTGGGAAATAATGGCTACAAAAGCCAGCCCTGCCCTGCACTCAGGTGAGGGAGACTTGTCTCAGTGTGTTCCCTGTATGCTAATGAATGTACCCCTCTATCAAGCATTTACTACTATAGAATTTAAGTTTTTTTGCGGGCCCACATCATTACCTATCTCTGTCTCTCCAGCCCTTAGAAAAGTATCTGGCACACAGTTGACACTCAATAAATGTGTGATAAACAAATAAATTAATTTAAATACATATAGTTTCCCATTTGCATCAGACACGTTTCAAGTGCTCCACTGCCACCTGTACCACTGGCTATTGTATGGGACAGCACAAATAGAGAACATCTCCATCATCACAGAAAGTTCTGTTTAGATAGCAGAGGTCTAGAGCAATTCGCAGAAATACTATTTGACTGACAGTGGTCGCTAGAGACTATAAAACTCTTCTTCTTTCCTCCATGAGCAAGTAAGAATACCAGTGATATCAAATGACAAAGCAAAAGCAAAAGCACAAATATTTTAACCCCTAAATATTTCAAATGCAACAGCATTATGGTTTCCACTGGAAGAAGAAACTTGGCCGTCTGTTTCTGCCCGAGTTTTTGCCTCCCTCTTCTGGTTTTCTTATCATAAGAAAGAAACCAGCATGTTCCCCACAAGTGCCACAAGACTCTTACCCCCTAGCCAAAATATCTAATGAATGCTTTCCCTTATTTTCTGAGATAAGTTGGAAATTTCAAAAGAAACTTTAGTACAGAAGCTAAAGTGGGAAAAATAAATAAAAAATAACAATCGTGAAAAATTGTCAAGCTTATGTACAACATACAATTTTCTGAACCTAAGAATCCAAGGAAAAGCAGTGAATTACCCGAAGAAGAAACTGTCCATTCCCTTATCTGAAAATAGAGTCCACTGGCTGAAGGGCTAGCGTAATTCTGTAGGCACATTAGCTGTATCCCTTCCTTTTCAGCCAGGAGACCTCTGGGGTACCATCTTGGTTCCTGGCATACAGTAGTTGACGCATCTAAATATCTTGTCACCTTCCCCATTTAAGGATACCTCTTAAGAACTCTTCATTTGACTTTAAACAAAACATTTCCCTGTTTCAAAAATTGTAGCCCACTCTCAGTTTCACACTAAGATCTGAGAAACATACCTAATTAGAGTTGACTTAGAGAAGAGATGACCCCCACCTTTAGCTCTAGTGAATGATCTGGTCCTGTGGTTCTCAGGATTTCTGAAGATCTTTCCCAAAGTTCAGATTCCTAAGTCCCCACTCCAGACTTCTGAATCAAATCTCTGACAGCCAGGCCTGGGGATCTTTATTCTTAACAAGCATGCTAAGTGAAAATTCTGTACTCCATCTCCTTTAGGGTTGTTAATCTGTTTCCTCCTTACTTGCAGAGTCAACTCTGCCCTCCTCTGGACTATTAGGTAAGGAGTTCTTCTGCCTCCACTCTGTCACTGTACAGTTTGACAGTGAAACAGGATCGGAAGCCCAATATCCATACAGATGTAAGGGGGACAGGGATAAAAGGAGTTTTCATGTGAGTCAGAGGTTTCTATAACTCTACTGCTTTTCCAGAGAAATCAGTTTGAATCTTCTAACTCTATGGGATTCAAATGTCCCAAAACAAATAGCTCTCAGCCCGACATTAATGCAGATTCCAGCAAGATGTCTTGCTATATTAATTAACAGTCAGTCTGTCAACTAGAAAGACCAATATTGAGAATGCAGAACTTGAAATAACCCAGGCTTGCTATTGAATCTGAATGTATATCTCTGGTGCTTATCTTTTGATATTTTAAATAACAATCACTTACCCTTGACCTATTTTTTCAAATCTTGTGTATTTTTTCTTTGGGTCACCAACACTCACAATGCTTCCTGAGTATGGGGGTGGGGGGAGAGGAAGAAAGAGAGAGAGAGAAGATTTAAATTGGGTGGTTGATTTCCCTTTATTTAATACTAAAAATTACAATGCCACAGTCAATGACAAACAAAATATCAGAACAATATTTTCATGTATTTTCTATAATTTTTATGGCTCATAATATGTTTTAAGTTAAAGTAACAAACAGTAACATATTAATTAAAATAGTAGTAATAACCTGTGCTGTTTTATATTCAAAATTGATGATGTTTGAGAAACAAAAAGGACTGGACACAACTCAACATTTATAAAAAGTTCACATAAAAGGATACTGTAGATCAGGAGATAACAAACATCTAAAAACTTGCATGAACTATTTAATAAAATCACTATCTTCTCTGAATTGGAGAGAAATTGAGTGCTACACTATATTCAGTTCTGCTGGACAAATATCTCTTGAGCCATTACTATGTACCCAGTACTGAGCTAAGAGTGATAGGGTCTAATAAAGAACAAAGTTGACTTATAAAGCAATGAGACTCATGCTTTCTGAAATCCTACACCCCCAAACCCAGAACCCTCCATGCACTCTACTTTTTAGTAATAACTTTACTGGAATATGACTTCCATACCATAAAAGCTCACTCATTTAAAGGGTGCAATTCATCAGTGCTCCCAAATGTATGAAGCAAACACTGACAAGAGTGAAGGGAGCTATTGACAGCAACACAATAATGGTGGGAGATTTTAATTAATAGCTCGCTTTCAATAATGGATCGAACAACATTAGAGAAGATCGGCAAGGAAATGGAGCACACAAACAACACTATGGAACCATTAGACCTAACACATTTATGGAACTCCTCACCCAGAAACTGAGGAATTCACATTTCTTTCAAGTGTACATGGAACATTCTCCAGGATAGACCACATGTTAGGCAGCAAAGCAAGGCTTAGCAGATTTTACAAGGTTGAAATCGTACACAATGCCTTTTCTAATCATAATGGATGCAAACTAAAAATCAATAGCAGAAAGACAACTGGAAAATCCCAAGATATTTAACTAAGACATGCGTGAAAGAAGATACTTCAAGAGAAATTTAAAAATAGTTTGAACTAAATGAAAATTAAATACAACCTATCAAATTACGTGGGATGCAGAAAAAGCAGTGCCCAGTATTTTTTTAAAAAGGAAAAAAAATTAAGTGTACAATTCAATGGATTTTCATAACTTTTTTGAGTTATGAAAATTTATTAAATTTCACCATAATCTCATTTTAGGAGGTTTTGATGATCCCAGAAAGAAACCGTGTACCTGTTCGCAGTCACTCTTCATCCATCCCTCCCCCTAGGTAACCACCAATCTACTTTGTGTTTCTATAGACTGTTCCAAACACTGGGGAATAAGGTGGTTCATAACCATGCAAGAAAAACATTAAATTTATCATGTTTGGCTATGGGAAACAAATATTGGCTCTCCCTTTTTTTTTTTAAGCAAACATATCGGTACCATTACCTTTGACTTATATCTTACTATCACGGCTCCATTTGAAAGAAGTGTAGTGTCAATAGGATAAGATTTACAGCATGAACTATTTAAGAGAAGGTCTCTACATTCTATCTCCTAATGTCCACTCTTATTCATTCCCTCCTCTTCATGCCCATGGCCAGTGCCATTGTTCAGGCCCTTAACACCTCTTGTCCAAACAATTGCACTAGTCATTACCTACCTCAACACTCTACCTTCTCTATCTTCCACAATGCTTTAGGAATAGGGCCACCATATAGTTCACAAACCAAGACTGTCCTGGGTAAGCTGATATGTACAGTTGCCCTTCTTCAGAATGATTTCACTCTTCCTTACAAGGCCTCAAAAGTTCCTCCTTGCTACATAATCAAGTCCAAATTTCTTAGTCTGGCATAGAATGCTCTTTACCGTCTAGCACCAACTAACTCCTACCTAACAAGACTAATCTCATATAATTCCTCTACTCTCCATCCCTCCTACTTTAAATCCTAGTAATGCTATCACTATTGAAGGCTTAGGTCTTTGCAGATGCTCCCCCTTTTCCTTTTCTATCTAACCCACAAATTCCTATTTATTACTTAAACATGTCAAGTCATCCTAATTTGTGAATTCTTCTCTGATCCCTCTAATGAGATTATCATGTTTCTTCTTGAGGGCAAAAACCTTGTCTTTTCTTCCCTATAACTTCAGTGTCTAGAACAATGGCTGTCACTGAACAGATATTTATTGACCAAATGAATGAGGACAGGAAAGTATATATTCGAGTGCTAAACTGTGTGCTACAAACGATACCTAGTGTTCAGACCTACCAGTAGATGGTATACCTTGAAAAAAAAATAAATGTTTCAATCCTAGACTGTTCATCAAGCTGTTAGATTTGTTGGTGGTGGGGGTGGTGGTTTGTTTTTTCATAACACAAGTCCATGTTTCAGTGAAGTTAAATAAGACATACACGATATGTGAGTTGTTATAATGCTTTTTCTCTTGCATTTCCAATCTCAGTCCACTGAACTACTGTCTGTCCTCTCAGTAGCCCAAGTCAGAAATCTGGGAGTCTGATCTGACTCATCCCTCTCATTCACTACCTCCATGTGGCTGTCCTCCAAGTCCTGAGCCTGCATCTGTTTACCTCCCAGAGACCTTGTCAATCTGTCCCTTCCTCGTTCCTACTGTTCTAGTTGGGCCCTCATTGTTTTTGTCTGGGCTATTCTAACAGCCTACTCACTGGACTCCCAACTGCTAGCCTCTTCACACTCCAGTCTGGGCTCCACACCTTACTCTGGCAGGGTGCTCTAAGTGCAAATGCAATCATGTGATTCCCTGGTTCAGAAGTCCTCAAAGCTCCCCCTGATGCCTACAGGGCAAATCTCAAACGCCTTGGCAGGGAGCACAAGGCCCTTCGTATCTGACTTTTGCTTCATTCTCCATCTCTTTTCCACCACTTCCCCACTCAACCCTCATCGCTTTGACCATAACAAACTGCAGGTAATGGTGAGCTCTGGCTTGACAGGTAAGCTTCCTTTCTTAAGACTCCAATCCTTCTGCGGAGAGAGGGGAACCCTCCTACATTGTTGGTGGGAATGCAAGCTGGTGCAACCACTCTGGAAAACAGCATGGAGGTTCCTCAAAATGTTGAAAATAGAACTACCCTATGACCCAGCAATTGCACTGCTGGGTATTTACCCTAAAGATACAAACGTAGTGATCCGAAGGGGCACGTGCACCCGAATGTTTATAGCAGCAATGTCTACAATAGCCAAAATATGGAAAGAACCTAGATGTCCATCAACAGACGAATGGATAAAGAAGATGTGGTATATATATACAATGGAATACTATGCAGCCATCAAAAGAAATGAAATCTTGCCATTTGCGACAACATGGATGGAACTAGAGGGTATCATGCTTAGCGAAATAAGTCAATCGGAGAAAGACAACTATCATATGATCTCCCTGATATGAGGGAGAGGAGATGCAACATGGGGGGTTAATGTGGTAGGAGAAGAGTAAATGAAACAAGTTGGGATTGGGAGGGAGACAAACCATAAGTGACTCTTAATCTCACAAAACAAACTGAGGGTTGCTGGGCAGAGGGGGGTTGGGGGGGGGTTATGGACATTGGGTAGGGTATGTGCTATGGTGAGTGCTGTGAAGTTTGTAAACGTGGAGATTCACAGACCTGTACCCCTGGGGGGAAAAATATATATATATATGTGTTTATAAAAAATAAAATTATAAAAAAACAACAACAACAACAACAACAACAAAAAAGACTCCAATCCTTCTACCTACCACCAATGATATAATTAAGTGACATTGAATAAGTTAGCATTCCTGGGCATATGCCTTCATACCTTCTAAACTTGCTATTCTCCTGCCTGGAATGTCCTTCTTAAATTTTCAACCTCCTATTCATGCTTCAGTTTAGCTTCGATGGTGCCTCTTCTAGGAAGACTTCCCTGATTTTTTTCAAATAAAATTAGCAATTCCCCTTTATTCTACTGTACCTCCTCTCTCTCTTTGTCTCTCTTGCCTTTGCATTTACAGTACTTCTCTAAACTTAATACACCATGTATCCATCTTTATATATTTGACATCCCCTTATAAACTATGTATAAAGGACAAGAGTCAGGTCTCACTCATTTCTGTATCCTCAGCACCTCCCCAAACAATGTTGTGTGAGAAATACATTAGTTACTCAATAACTGTCTGTTGCATTGAACTCAAATACAATTAGGCATTTCCTTTTGTGAATGCCCCATATTTTAAGAAAGGGGTTGGAGAACGTATTTTACTTGAGTTACATCTACAGAATGCCACCAATTTAACAATTTCTGAGTTGCCACTTCACTTTTCAAATTGTCTTACAGATTTCTACATCACTGAGAACTATCCTTATTCAAGTAAGCTATTAATGGATAAAGGCCTGGACTTTCTTCTTTTTTTCTTTTGTTTTTTTCTTTGTTTTTTTTTTTGTTTTTTTTGGTAATGAAATGACAATTTGAAAGTCACTTGAAACCATCATTTTATTAAGGAGTTTATAGTCTTCTAAGAAAGTTATACTATTAAGTTGCTGAGCAAACTCTTTTCCATAGACTGAACAAAAGCAAATAAGCTTCAGCCCAAGCCACTTTCTGAATTATGACCAATTTCAATTGGCAGGGTTCAGTTAATGAGGTTTTATGGTAGTAAATTACTCAACCTTTATTTCCTTGGAATGCAGAGTTTAAAAAAAAAAAACAACTGGAAATAAATCCTTTCATGAGGATTTCCAAAAGACAGCCATTTTGATGAGCTCCTGCCTCTGGATTGAACTGCTGTTCAAATAAAATGGCGTCTCCACACCCACTACCCTTCACAGGAGAGTGTGTGCTGCCATCTACTGATGTGAGGTAAGTGCACAGGAGGTCTTGTTTATGATTCCCAATCACAAAACAAGCTTTTCAAGTGACCTCTTTCATCAGAGCCACTGTAATAGGTTTTTATAAATTACGCTAAGGAAAGGGAAGAAAAACCCCACTGTGACACAATAGGGGAAAACAGTGACAAAAATGAGCAACTCAAAATCAAAAGGATAAAAAAAAATAGCCACACCAAAACAATTTTCCTACCAGGGCAATTTCTTAAATAAGAAGCCAACTGTTAATTTGAAAGTATGAGGACTTAAGAAATGACTAAATAGTAGTATTTGAAAATAGGGTTCATGGTGTGGTTTCAGTGACAGAAAATCCTATCAGGGTATTTTCCTACATATTAAGCTAAGTTGAATTCTGACCATTGAAAAGATTATTCCTTTAGCATACCAAGGAGGTTTGGATTCCTGAGAAAAAAGCAAAAATAATTCTCTAAATTAATATTAGTCCATCTGAGGGGGAAATTAGAAGAGTTTTGAGTGGGGAATGCTGGAGAAGGGGAGGGACAAGAAGAGGAGGTGATGGTGGGGCCCAAGACAAATTTCCTGCCTTGTACTATTTTGCTGACAGTGCCTTTTGGAAATTTTCTCTAAAATGTAGGGGTTTCTTTATTTTCCAACAGATTCAGACAGACCACAATGAACAAGCCAGACCCAGGCTATCTGTCTGTGTAAAACTGAAAGATGATCTGTTTATTTCAGCTATTAATGATCCCATGATCTGGCCCCCCCAATCAGCAACTGCGTAGAAGAGGAATAGCCTGGCGGCTCTGTGGTCTGGGCTGCCCACCTCACAGTAATTGGATCCCTGAGCCCAAAGATGGCTGCCATCCCGCCTTCCCCATGCTTTTGGTGGGATCTGCTCTGGTATGGGCTATAGGCTCTTCCTTGACTTCTCTGGCTCCCAGCCTCCTCTCCTTTGCCTCTCAGCACAGGCTCATTTACTCCTTCCCTAAGCTCCAAAGGGGGCCTTGATTCTCTCAATGACTTCTGTATAAGGACCATGCATCTTAGCTTGTTTCTGGTTTCAAACATTCTGTCCCACTGGGCGACCCCCACTTTTTTATGTTGCAAAATATGGTGGCTCTCATTTGACAAAAATAACATGATTAAATGTGTACTACTATTTATTGTGTTAGGTGTCTTACATACTTTACCTTGTTTAGTCCTCACCAAATCCCTATCACATTGGTACTAGTACTACTTCCATTTTTCAGATGAAGAAACTGAAATTCAGAGAAGTTGACTGACTGGCCTAAGGACACACAGCTAGTCTGGGCCTATGACTCAGACTCCCTTATGATTCATTCCAAAGCCCGGTCTAGTGTACGATCTTACGAAGGCTTTACATTCATGTAATAAAATGGTAATTACCATTTACTGAGCACCTACTGTGTACAAGGGACTGTGGCTGAGGTTTTTATATGCCTGATTCTCATTTAATTATTATTATGCCATGACATTGGTACTATTGATATCTCCATATTTTTCTTTTTAGATGAGGAAAAAGAGGTCAAGGAAAGTTAAATCACTTGCCCAGAGGAACACAAGAAAGGGGCTTGTCATTTCTCACTCCAATACTTGTCTTCTTATTCACAGGTTGAGTTACATAAAATCCATCCTATAGGGGTGCCTAGGTGGCTCAGTCATTAAGCATCTGCCTTCTTCTCAGGTCATAATCCCAGGGTCCTGGGATTGAGCCCTGTGTCAGGCTCCCTGAGCCTGCTTCTCCCTCTGCCTCTTCCCCTGCTTGTGTTCCCTCTCTCTTTCTGTGTGTCAAATAAATAAATAAATAAAATCTTTTTAAAAAATCCATCCTATAGACAGAATCCTCAAATGCAGTTATGATTCTTATCTCTGATGCTCAGAGGGGTGAAATAAATCATCTGAACTTATAGAGTGAGGCTGTGGCAGAGAGAGAAGGCACATAGGGGGTGCACGTCCACAGATGCAGCAGAAGTAGGAAAGACCCACTTTGCAGATTTTGCAGTATAGCTCAGCCTGGACCCGCTTCATGAAAAGCATTCTACCATTCTCTATAGGCTCTCCCTGCCAAGATCTGGAAGTGTGAGGTCAGATTGGCAGTTACAGGTGGCCTACAGACCAGAGAGAAAGTGAGTCTCCCAAAGCCTGAGTAGTTTCTAGGTGAGAAGAAAACACCCACTCCTTCATTAAAAAATGTAATCAAAGGCAGCTTACTCCTCTTCATCATGTTGCTCAGGGCAGGGCAGAATACACAAACAACAAGAGTGACCTTGGTTCTCTCTTCAAGGAAAGCCAGATTACAGTCTGCAAGGAAAGCCAGATTTTGGCACAAGAGAATAATGTTCGTCTCTCTGTCAGTAAGTATAAGAAACCCCAAAATGCATCTGCATTCTAATAAATCAATTAAGATTTGAAACAAAGACCCATCATAGTCATTTTTTTAATGAAAGCAAAGCTGTCAAATTTTAAAAATCTAATAAAATCTCACAGGGTCATGTCTACATGTATAAAATAAAGAAAAGAATTGAGGTAACTATCTGAATAATTGAATTGGAATTATCCAGGAAAGTCTTTCTTTTTCCTTCCCTCTTCTATATATAGACAGTTGGGATATGCAGAAGCAAAGTGGGTTAATAGAACTAGTGTCACCTTTGAAGGCAAACAGAGTTGAGTTCACACTCGGGTTCCACTACTCATTTTAGTTTGGTAACCTGGTCTCTTTACCTTTTTGAGGCTTACTTTCAGTGATCTGTAAAATGAGGATATTTAAATCTACCCCAAGATATTATGAAAATTAAACCTTACCATGTATGTAAAGTGGCCAGCACTGAGAATTCTCAATAGTTGCGAATTATTACTACTGTTATTACAGCAAATAGTAGGTATTAGCACCAGAGGCATATTTAATCACGTATAGTAAAGTCAGATGACTGAAGTCCCAGTGATTCCGGTTCCAAACGCTCACTGCCAACCTTTGCCTTTCCAAATACCTCTAGCTCAGAATGTCTCAACCTCAATACTACTGACATTCGGGGCTGAATAATTCTTTGTCACAGAAGGGGAAGGAGGGGCATGTCTTTAGCAACGTAGAGATTTTAGAAACATACCTAGCCTCTATCCACTACAGGCCAGTAGCCTTCCCTGTGCTGTGACTACAAACATGTCTCTGGATATTGCCAAGTATTTCCTGGAGGGGCAAGATGGCCCCACAAGCACCTATGCAGAGTTTCCCTGAGGTATCCAGTGGGAACCACTCGCTTCCTTCCCTGAGGTGAGATGGAAATTTGCATGAAACAAGACAGCTTCCTTTTCTCTAATTGTATCACATTATTGAATCTTATTATCCAAATAAAATTGTAAGTTTCCTGATGGCAGGAAATTGTTTTTCTACGGTTTCCTCCAAAGATTCTTACATGGAAGAGACAAGCAGGGACTCAGTCAAGGTACATGTTTTTTTGCTCACTCTTTCATTCATTCACTCAAAAAACATCTGTTAAATGCCTTTATGTACCAAGCACCTTTTTTTAAGGAGCTGGACATTCAGGGAAAGGAGACACAGTCCCCTCCCTTGAGGAGCTCACAAGTCTAAGTGAAAGAGATTGGACTAGTATGGTGTGATTTGCTGCCATAAAGGCAGTAAACAAGAGGAGCCCTTAACTCAGACTGGGAGAGGCAAAGAAGGCTGTACTGAGGAGGCCACATTTGAGTTGGGGTTTGAAGGATGAAGAGGAGTTAGTAAGACTAGGGGCACTGATTGCAGATAACCAGAAATGTGTTAGATGTTTCTGTATCATGAGTTTAATGACTGTGCTTCACAGACCTTTGGCTCTTCTCAGCAGACAATGTCTTTTTCTTAAATCTCCTCAATCCAGAAAGCTAACTGAAAGAGGATCGTTTCATGAAACTGGAGTGAGTGTGTATGCATAAGTGTGTACGCAATAATGACACCAGGGGAGGGAGTTTGTGAGCATTTGCTGGCTCTGTTCCCCTTTTCCACATAAAAATGCTCCAAAGTTAAGGGGAAAGACTATATTACTATGGCTGCTGGTTTTGATTGACTGCATTGAGCCCTGAGCTTGACTTATCTATCATGATGGATCAGTTGGGAGACCTCGGGGGATGATCAAAAGATATGTCATCAGATTATTTTATTCCTTTCAGGAGCATCATTTTAAATTAAAACGCTGTTTAATTCATCATGTCAAGTTTTCACCTTAATTGATTTTATCAAGTGAAAATATTTAGTTTCTGTCAAATTTGGAGCATGGGGGAAAGAGTGATCTGGAATACAGAGCAAGTTCAATCTTTTATATCTTCTGACTTCGGGGAGCCTGGAGTTCAGGCAAGGAGGCCCAAACTTTGAAAAGATCGGTCCCCACTTGAAATGTTTTACAAGAGACCATCCCATGAAGAAATGATGGCAGAAAACAAAAGAAATCAAAACAAAATACCCCTCAAACTCACTTAGCTTCTCTAGGATCTCCTCGTCTGTCATCTTAGATTTTTTCCTTTGCCGATCCGTGTTTCTGTACAAAGTACTGGAGTTGGCATTCTCAGCAGAAGGTGGTGCGACCTCTTTATTTGGTGCTGCTGGTGAAGCAATGGATTCCAGCACAGAACGAGTATAGATCTTAAAGATAAGAAAATAATTCTACGATGAAAACAGTAGGCCAGGGAAAGGGTTATGAAGTCAAGATGCTGTCATGGCAATGAGGTTTTATTGTTTTTCGTTAACACAAAATTTTTTTTTTTTTATAATTTTATTTTTTATAAACATATATATATATATTTTTCCCCCAGGGGTACAGGTCTGTGAGTCTCCACGTTTACAAACTTCACAGCACTCACCATAGCACATACCCTCCCCAATGTCCATAACCCTACCCCCCTCCCACCCCCCTCCCCCCAGCAACCCTCAGTTTGTTTTGTGAGATTAAGAGTCACTTATGGTTTGTTAACACAAAATTTTGAAGCAGTTTTTGGTTCACAGACAAGTTGAGAGGAAGGTACAGATTTCCCAACTGCCCTCTATGCCCACACATCATAGCCTCCCCCATTGCCAACACCCCCTGCCCAGTGTAGGACATTCGTGACAACTGATGAACCTACATTGATGTGTCATAATCACCCAAAGTCCATAGTTTACATGCAGTTCTCTCTTAGGGTATACGTTCTATAGGTTTGGACAAATGTATAATGATGTGCATCCGCCATGATGGCAATGGAGTTTTGTTATTTCCCTAAAAATCCTCTGTGCCTTGCCTATTCATTCCTCCTCCACTACCCAACGCCGACCCCCCGTGAGTTTTTAAAGTCAAGTGATTAATTGTTAAGCAAGAACTTTAAGTTGCTTCAAATATACTGTTCTTGGAAGCTCTCAGGATCCCACCTTCTGAGGTTCCCCATACATGCTGTGCTAATTCTGGCCTTGGTGCCCCCGCTTAGGCAGTTCTTCCTACTTGATTCACATGGATTTCCTTCTCTAATTTAACTTCGGTTGCAATCTTATAACTTAGCACTTATTTGCATGTTGTTTGGTATCATTCTCTAATTGTCACGTACCATCTTGTATCCCCAAAGAGCAACCTCAACCAAGGTTGTACCAGATATTCTAGTTCTGGGAACACAGTAGATACTCAATAGGTAGGAGTGGATGGACTAGATTCTGACTCTACAGTTGTTCCAGAGGACATCTTTTGAGTCACTTAGAAACAGTCATTCGTGACTTACTGATTTTGTATGCTCGGGTCTCGGTGCGATAACTGGTGGGGGCTCGTTGTCGTCTTCTTCTTCTTCCTCTTCTTCATCTTCTTCTTCAGACACTGGAGGAGCCAAAGGAGGCTCTGATGCTGTTTTTGTACTCTTATGACAAAAACAAAGTTTAGAGACCAGGTATTAACACCCCATTGTTTTTCTCAGAAATGAGAAAAGGGAAATGAAATATTGGATCACATAGGGATATGAAAAAAAAAACTGCACCTTTTACAAATTAGCAGAACCTCTACAGTTTGGTGACCGGGACTGCCCTCATTCCGAGGTAAATTCAGGTCATGGTTTCAAACATCATGACATTTTTTTAAAAAATCTTTCTTATTTTCCACTGAGCTCAGAAACAGTGAGCTATTCATTTAGTATTTGAGAGTTCAATGCTTTGGAAATCAATGAATAATATATTTTAAAAATGTTATTAAAGCCTTCAATTTGTACTGGGCCGATTGTCAATTTGTTGATTGATAGTTTGTCCACCAGAAAAGGGCTGTTTTGTGCCTAAAGATCAGAGCATGCATATGGATATGGTATTAATACAGCTCTGCAAATACTCACTAAGTACAAGCAAGCCCATAAATGTTGCTTCCCTGTTCAGCCTCCTGGAAAGAAGCACTCAGAAAATAAGAGACATGAAGATCTAAGGAATATTCATCAACATAAATAATTATTCAGTCTTAACCAACAGGTATAAATGGTGCTTTGCAATGTTAAAAACTGCAATACCACCACCAAAAACAACAATCATCGTATCTAGGATCGGTTCTTCATCATTCATATTAATGCAGGGGTAAAAATGGTTCCAAAGCTGAAATTTGAAAGCACTTTGACCATGGTTCTCAAATTGTGGTCCCCAGACCAGCATCATCACCAGGAACTTGTTAGAAATGCAAATTCTTGGGCTCTTCCCACACTAATGAATCATAACTCTGGAAGTGGGGCATAATAGTGTGTTACGACAAGCCTTCCATGTGACTCTGGTTCAGGCTCAAGTTTAAAAATCACTGAATGATGATAGAGGTCTGTGTTGTCCATGGCTAATGAACAATTCCAATGTGACTAGTCTGAATTGAGGTGTGGTGTAAGTGTAAAATATATATTGCATGTTGAATATGTAACATGAAAAAAAATGTAAAATAGTTCCTTGGTGAAAGACATTTCCTTTTATGTTGTGTATATGTTGAAATGATAATATTTTGAATACATTTGGCTAAGTAAAATATCATTAAAAATTTCATCTATTTCTTTTTTTTTCTATGTGGCTACTAGAAAATTTAAAGTTATGTATATGGCTTTTATGACATTCATTTCTATTGGAAGGCACTATTATGGATGGTTTTTTATTTTTTGGTGTGTGTGTATGTATTGGTTTTTGGTTGATGCCTTTGGGTATACTGGCTCAAGCTAATCCTAAAAAAGGATTTTCATTTCTTGAGGACAAAACTCCTAAGTTAAATGCAGGGAGCCTAATAATAGACTGTAACAACAAAGGACCTCAGGCTATGGTTGAAATTCAACTTGGGTCTTCTACAATCATGTATAAATTGATGGTAGAGCTATAAGATGCAATCATATATCTGATCGGAGATGGCAAGATTTATCTACTGTGCAAAGGAAGACAACTTAGAATTTATAAGAAAGTATTTGAAAGAATATCTGCTTGCCCTGATACACATACTGAGTGGCTTATAGACTGAAATTTATATGCTTAGTTGATATTGGTTTTCTTATTTATACACCTGTATTTAGTCCTAATTTGGCCGAAAGAGCTAAGCTATTATGTTGTACTATGGCTGTGTGGAAAGTGACATGTGTTAATGACATTAAATTGCCAGAAAAAAAAATCAGTTTCTTTTTGTAAAAGACTAATTGTTCAAGGCACTTCAGTGGGGAAACTTAGAAATTGCTTCTAGTTTATTGATGTTTGCTTTGAGATTATTTTGTTTCAGAAAGTTCTGCTCTACCTTACTCCAGCTGGGATCAAGAATGCACCCAATCATTGTTCACTAGCAGAAGGGTAGAACTGCATATAAACGGACTACTTTTTATATGGCAAATGAAGCTATCTAATCTATCAGGCCATATGAATTATGGTTAGGAACAGTAAGCTTTCCATGAGCCTATGAAAATATCTAAATTCAGAAATAAGTCATTGCCTCCAAAATGTAACAAAAAAACATAAAATCTAAAGTAATTAATGTCTAATGACATGTCTATGAAGCATATATGTCAACTTCACTTAGTGACTTCAATTTAGTAGTTACAGACATTTCACTGCATTAAAAACCAAATTGTACATTAGATTGTCTTTAGCAAACACTCCTGAGTAGTCATAATGACTTCCAATAAATGATACCTAACCAAAAATTCAGTGTTACTTGTAATCACTTAATTTCAAAATCAATATTTTTAAAATATCACTTTAAAGAGTTCACAGCAAAAAAAAATTATATGGAGCAGAGGTGCCCTTTAATATATTTGATATAACACACCATGTAGTTTCCATAAATGAGAATGTATATCAGCCTACAAGGATCTAAAAATTGCCCTGTTGCCAAATAAAATGGGCCTAGGTCTAGATTCCTGAGACTGGTACAAAGACCAAGCAGTACTACTGACCAAGAGGTAACCATGTACATCTCAATGGTGACTGTTTAACTAAAGAAGAGCTGCCTGCAAAATGTCACTGTTTCTTAACATTCATTACTAACCTCACTATTCCTGTTTCATATGGGGGACACTCCCCATCTCTGAGGACAGACTAAAGGACTGTTAGGAAACCTAAGGTCTTTCACCTTCTGAAGGTATGTGGGGGAGGAAGAAGACCAATGTTTCTGTTTATCTGGGACCAGACACTATACTATCATGTTGGCTGGTTAGTTGGAAAGAATGTGTGGCCTTCAGGGGACATTTCTTTGTTTGTTTTTAGATTTTATTTATTTAATTGACAGAGAGAGAGAGAGAGAGAGCATGCACAAGCAGGGGGAGCGGCAGGCAGAGAGAGAGGGAGAAGCAGGCTTCCCCTGAGCAGAGAACCCAATGTGGGGCTCAATCCCAGGATCACAGGATCATGACCTGAGCCAAAGGCAAACACTTAACCAACTGAGCAACGCAAGCGCCCCAGGGGACATTATGTTTTGCACGACAGTTGGGCCAGGGAACATGAGCTGACCCAGAACATAGCTAGAACACCAGGTGTTGGTCCTGAGGACTGAAATCAACATAATTTCCCGGCCCCACGTTAAGTAAGAATAGGACCAGGCATACTTACCCATCCCTGTGTAAATAATACTGGGGCTGGGCCTACTTTCTTTTCCCTGTGTTAAACAGCATCAGGTGAGAGCATATTTTCCTGTTCTTACGTTAAAAACTATGAGAACAAGCAAAACTAGCGGTTTCTTACTTCAAGAAATGTTTATTCTTGGAAGATAAGACTGAACCAACCGAAGCATTTTACTTAGTAAGAATAACAGCTTGCTCACCAAGACTCTTTTGAAGACTCTCACTTCACGAACCTAAAGCTATTTAATCACAAACACTGCACAATCCTAACCTGTACCTTGCCTTGTAAGACCTGCTTTAAAATCACATAGCCATGAGGTGCCTGGGTGGCTCAGTGGGTTAAGCGTCAGGCTCTGGATTTATGCTCAGGTCATGATCTCAGGGAACTGAGACTGAGCCCCACATGGGGCCCATCAGGAAGTCTGCCTCTCTCTCTCTCTCCCTCTGCCCCTCTCCCCCTCAAACAAATAAATAAATGTTTAAAAATAAAATCAAGGCCACTGGGGTGGCTTAGTCAGTTGAGTGTCTGCCTTTAGCTCAGGTCATGATCCCAGGGTCTGGGTATTGAGTCCTATGTCAGGCTCCCTGTTTATCACAGAGTCTGCTTGCTTCTCCCTCTCTCTCTCTGCCCCTGCTCCTGCTCTCTCTCTCTCACTCTCTCCCTCTCTCATGTGTGCACGCTCACTCTCTAATAAATAAATAAAATCTTAAAATGAAATAAAATAAAATCACATAGCCATGCTCTAAAACCCTATAAATGTTCTTCCCTGACATCCCCTTTTTAATACACTGCAAAACTCTATAAAGGGAGGGCTCTTTCTTGCTGCTAGAGTTTAATAAACAGCTTGGCTTATTAACAGGTCACAGGTATATTGCACAGGTATATTGTGACCTTATTGCAGGTCACAGGTATAATGTTGCTACGCTCTCCCTTCTAGGCTGAGAATAACTACATTTGTCTAAACTTGAAAAAGAGGGGTGCCTGGGTGGTTCAGCCACTGACTGTCTGCCTTTGGCTCAGGTCATGATCCCAGGGTCCTGGGATCAAGTCCCACATCAGGCTTCCTGTTCTGCAGGAAGCCTACTTTTCCCTATCTCAATCCCCCTGTGTTCCCTCTCTCACTGTGTCTCTGTCAAATTAAAAAAAAAATACTTGAAAAAGAATGTCAATAGATATTCTGGTTTCTCTTAGATGATAACTGGAGGGGAGGTGTGTGGGATTTTGGGTGAAATAGGGGGATGGGGATTCAGGAGGGCACTTGCTGTGATGAGAGCCGGGTGTCCTATGGAAGTGTGGAAACTACATTGTACACTTGAAATTCATATTAATTACACTGTATGTTAACTAGCTGGAATTAAACCAGTAAGTAAAGAATGTTTTTGTCTTACTGAAAATTTGTGATACTATTCTTGTGCCACATGGTGGGGCAAGGGAGGTGATTATTGACATAAGCGGGGTCCTGGAGTCTTTTAGAACTCTGAAGTGTTTGGCCGATCTCTCCAGAAGGATACAGGTAGGTATGCACTTTTCCATATAAATTCTCTTCTCTTCTCTTCTCTTCTCTTCCATTCCATATAAATTTACAGAGATCTTATGAAGCCAATCCCTATGGACTCTAAGTTATAAACCCTGCTCTAGACAATACCTCAGCTAGAGGAACTGCCTTAGGAAACTCTTCTTTCTTTGAGCTTCCTTGTTAAAGGTCAAAGGAATTAGAAGTAAGGACTTTGGAGACTCCAAATCACACTAAGTGTGGTCTATGGGCCATTTCTGGTGCTTGCTTAAGATGCAGATTTCAGGGTTCCATTCCATTTTGACTTGCACCTTCTTCCAGGCAGATCTGATACACACTGAAGTACAGGGACCACTAATCTAGATGAACAAAATAAACCAGTACTTCGAATTGAAAGCTCAGTCTGTGTTAACTGAACAAATCATGCATGACGTTCTCAGCACAAATCATGATATAGCCACAGTAGTTCTCTGGGCACAAATCATGGCATAGTCGCAGTATTGTTGCTACTTTCCACTCAAGATACTAGTCCAGGATTCTAAACGCATTTCTTTCCTCTCAATAGTCCAATACAAATATAAGATTTTAAAATAGTCTTAAACTGAAGAGTAGGTCCCTGAACAGTATTTAGCATTTAATACACTCACATCAAAGAAGCTACCGTAAGTGAGTAGTAAAGCAGATGTCACAGGACTAAGGGAGGGATTGCTGAATTCAATATTAATGATATAGTCACTCGTTTAAAATATTTAGTGACTACAACACTTCTTCTATGGTAATTCCCACCCAGGCTATTAGAGGATGCCAAAACTGGTGATCAGTTTAGGCTCTGTCTATAAGGGATTGTCCAATTTAATTGATCCAATTAAATCAGATCTTAAAGGGTAGCCAGGTCTACTTGGGAGTGTTTCTAATGCAAGAAAGCCTAAGGACCATCAAGGCAATCTCCCCCTGGAACCATAAGGAGAGCACAGGGTGCTCTCAATTCCCCATTCCTAAGTAACTGAGTTCTACTGAAGGGATCCAACCTAAACTTAAGGGTCTAATCCAGTTCATTCAATCAATAGAAACCCAGCCTCAGTTACGTGGTTTAATTAGTATCTCCACCTGGGAGTCCTACCAGCTCTTCAGACTCCAAACTATCCAATAGAAAACTCAGCATCTGCTCATGGAAATTTGCCACTCCCAAAAGATGGCATCCTCACACTTCTGTCCACCCATGTATCATTTGAAGCCTATAATCACCTTTGACCTTGACCTTTCCTCCAACATCCAATTAATAACCTAAACATTTGAACCTCATCTCCATTCCTTCTGCCACCATCTCCATTAGGCCCTTGTTACCTATGGCCTGGATGCTTACGGGACTCCTCCAACTGATCTCCCCTTCATCCAGCCTCACCTTCTGCCCTTAATTCACTCTGGATGTTTGTTGTCAGGTAACTGTTCCCAAAGCATAAGCTTCCATTGCCTAATTCTCTTGTTCCAAAAAACTCCAAAAACTTCCCAATGTATACTAGAAAAGGCCAGATTTCTCCCTTCCTTCCTCCCTCCCTCCCTCCTTTTTAAATTTAAAGTTTACATAGTGAACATACAGTGCAATATTGGTTTCTGGAGTAGAATTTAGTGATTCATCACTTACAACACCCAGTGCTCATCATGACAAGTGCCCTCCTTACTACCCTTCACCCCTATAGCCCATCCCCCCACCTCCCTCCCTCCATCAACCCTCAGTTTGTTTTCTACCATTAAGAGTCTCTTATGGTTGGTTTCCCTCTCTTCCTTTCCCTGCCCCCTTCCCATACATTCATCTCTTCTGTTTCTTAAATTCCACATATGAGTGACATCATATGTTTGTCTTTCTCTGACTTACTTCATTTAGCATCACACACTCTAGCTCCTTCCACATTGTTGCAAATAGGCCAGGTTTCTTGGAATACCATTTTAAGGGCCCCAATGGTTTGGCTCCAACTTAATATTCAAGGCTTAATTCCTATGATTCTTTTTTCTTGCATCTGTCTTCATTCAAAACCACACCATTTTGTCCCCATGCTCTCCTCATTACTGTTCCCTTTCTTATGTTTTTCCTTTTGCTTAGAATGTCTTTCCCCATCTTTACAGATCCAATCCCACCAGCCTTTTTTATGAAGCATTTTCCAACTCAACATTCAACAAATATGTACCAAGTACCTACAGAGCTTTAAGCCCTTTGAGACAATGGCCTACTTCCTTTTTCCTACCCAGCTGAAAATAATCTCTTTTCTCTGAGTTCTCATAGCAAATGGACATATTTTATGGCATGTAACATGGTCCATATTGTATTTTGTTTCTTGACATGCATACTTCTCTTCCCTTACCAGAATAAGCTCCAGATTTCCTAGTGCTTGTAAGAGGGCACTTGATAAATATATGTGAAAAAAGTAAATATCCAGTTGTTTGATCTCCAAACAGTGAGAACATCATTTTTTTTCTGATTTGGTGGAATATTTTGATCATTATGTAGATGTAGTTTGAATTCCACAAGCAAAACCAGTAGAAGCAAGCTCAAAAGAAAGGGACAGTAATTCAGGAGATATAAACCATTGACAAAAATAAAAACCATTCTACTAACCATCCTAATAGGTTAGCATTTAGAATAACTGACCTACCTACCTAAAAAAAATACCAACTATTTCTTTGCCAGAATACCCAGGTCATATTTATTATATAATAATGATATTAAGTAAATCAAGGGAGGAAAGGTAAGTATTGATCAAGGAAGACTGGCATTTTTGCTTTAGCTTATATTTAATAAACATATAGTATGTGCTAGGTAGTATACTATTTTATATGCATTATCATATCACATTCAGTATTCATACAATAAGACTAAACACCTATGTCCAGAGACTTCATCTTTTCTTTTCTTTTTATGTTTAATTGTGGTAAAATATACATGACATAAAATTTACCATTTTAGCCATTTTTAAATGTACAGTTCAGTAGTGCTAAGTATATTCACACTGTTGTGCAAGCAATCTCCAGAACACTTTTCATCTTGCAAAAATCAAACTCAGTATACAGAGTACCCTATATCTCCTATGAGTAGAACCATACAGCATTTCTCTTTTCATGACTGGATTATTTCACTTGGCATAATGTCCTCAAGGTTCACCCATGTGGTAGCATGTTCAATGTGTCAGAATGTCCTTTTTTTTTTAAAGTAGGCTCCATTCTCAGCAGAGAGCACAAAATGAGGCTTGAACTTACGACCCTGAGCTCAACACCTGAGACAAGATCAAGACCTGAGCCAATATCAAAAGTCGGACACCCAACCGACTGAGCCACCCAGGCACCCCAGATTCTCCTTCCTTTTTAAGGCTGAATAATATTCTACAGCATGGATATACCACCTTTATTAATCCATTCATCTGTTGATGGGCAAATGGGTTGCTCCCACCTTTTGTATATTGTGAATAATGCCACTATGAACATGGGTATACATATAAAAATCTGTGTGAAAACCTGCTGTCAATTCTTTTGGGTATCAAACCAGAAGTGGGCTTGCTGGATCACATGGCAATTCTATTTTTAATAGCCACACTATTTCATAGCCTTTACTCATTACCACTATTGATTTATTGCTATCACCCTTATTGCCCAGGGTGACATGAAGCAGGCCAGAATCTGTCCTCTATAAAATGTTGATCATCTAGGACTCTTTGAAGCAACAGTTAGGAAACTCACTAATGTTAATTATTTCAAAATAAAAGCATGTAAAGGTAAGCCTTGTCTAAGATAATTTTCTGTCTAATGCCTATGGGTATTCTTGCTGCTGCTCTATCACTTCTAAGCACTTTGAACTAGGTTACTTATTTTCTAGTCACTTCTCTAAGACTATCTATGTGAGCTTGGGCAAAGTTACCTCCCCCACTGCATCGCAGTTTATTGGAACAGGTGATGCTCAGAGGTATAGCAGTATGACCTCAGCTGAGTTATTTCACGTCTCTGAACCTCATCTGTAAAATGCAGACAATGGTAAGACCTACCTAATCTGGTTGTCAAGAAAGACTAAGTGAATGCAAAATGTTATCCTCCCAGTGCCTGGCACATTGTAAGTGCTGAGTCAAGAGAAGTCACTGTCATGACGATTATTATTTTCAAGATTGTTTGCATAAGAGAAATAGAAACATCTGTCTATGTAAAGATTTATACATGCATGTTCATAGTAGCTTTATCTACAACAGCCAAAGCCTGGCAATGCTCTGGAGAGACTTCAGTGGGTAAAATGTGGAACAAACAGTGGTACAGCCATACCATGGAAGACTACTTGGCAATAAAAAGGAACAAACTACTGAGAACATGTGACTAGGATGAACTGTAAGAGCATTATGCTGAGCATTAAGCCAATCACCAATGGTCATATACTATATGATTCTGTGTTCATGAAATGTCCAGAAAGACAAATCCATAATACCAGACCAGTGACTGCCTGGGGCTAGGGTGGGAATGGGATGGGGAATAACCATAAGCAGGCATAAGGGATCTTAGGAGGTGATGGAAATATTCTAAAACTGGATTAAGGCAATGGTAGGGCTGGTATACACATTTACCTAAACTCACCAAACTGTACACTTAAAAATGGGTGAATTTTATAGATCTAAATTATACCTTTAAAAGACTGTTTAAAAAGAGAAGAGATATCTAAACTGAATCTGTGTGATGGCATTCTGTTGGACTGTCAGAAACACTGATCACTCCAAACCATTTTCAATTTTTCACTTACCGAGGGATGGGCTGCTATGTATCCGTGTGCGCTTTTATCTGAAAAGTAAAGATAAGGACGTCACCTTTATTTCATGAAGCCTGCCTCCCTTAGAGACCAGAGTTAATAAAAAATTAACCTGCATGCCTTTGACCAGAAGGAAATTCTCCAGTTTGCTATTGAACAGATACTATGACAAATGACTTTGTTGTTCTGGAAATAGCTCACACCATTGCCCCCTCACATGTCATTTTATAGACCTTAGTGCAGGCCTCTGGAGAATCTCATCTATATAGAGGACTATCGATATTACATACTACTTTCTTTAAAAAAAGAATTTATTTATTTGAGAGCGAGAGAAAGAGAGTGCAAACATGCATGCAAACAAGGGGAGGGGCAAAGGGAGAGGGAGAGAGAAGCCTCAAGCAGAGTCCCTACTGAGCACAGAGTTCAATGCAGGGCTCAATCCCAGGACCTTGAGATGGTGACCTGAGCTGAAATCAAGAGTTGGATGCTTAACCAACTGAGCCACCCAGGTGCCTGGAAATTACCTACCCCTGAGGTATGAATCTATACGTCTATATCCAGAATTTCTCCCCTATTTCCTCTCTCCCTTCTCTTCCACCCTGCCTTCCTTCCTTTCTCTTTCTCCTGCCCCACCCCCACCTCCTCTCATCCCATTCCTTGGTCTCAACTCTAGAGCATCTCAGAATGTCTGGTGAGTTTCACTCAGCTTAGACAATACTAGAATGAAGCGTTTTTGGTTCTGGTAGCCTGTGGTTCTCTAGTGAACCTAGAGGACAGTTCTAGACTTCCTCACATTAATTAAGCACTGTTTGATGTGTCACTAGGATCTCTGAAGCCTATCATGTATGTGGAAGACTAAATATCATAAAACCTCTCCTTGCTGGCCTTTTTTCCTTTTCAGTGTTCTGCCCTGGAGAATAGCAGTTAAACTATCTTCTCAGTTAAAAACGTCCCATGGAGCTTGTGAATTACTACATGCCTTAAGTTTGGGCTTTGACATGTGTTATGACCAAAGGAGACACTCCTCCCCTTCCAAGTGTCCCCTTGCACCATCCCTGAAGATATTTTAGGCCTGCCCTATGTTAAAACCATTGCTAAGAGGTGGGGGCTCTTTACAGCTGGACCACTAATGATAGGATTCTCTTCTTTTTTTAGATGTTAAATAATAAGTTGTTCTAGAGAGGCACCCTGGATTATCTTTCTCAAAACACAAAAATATTGTTTGGCATATATTTTTCAGTTGCTTATAGTGCAAATGTGAACCTTAAAGTTTCAAACAAAGGCTCAGTCTATGTGCTAGCAACTGAAGTCAAGATTTGGCAGGAACGTGACCATTTCAATTACTTATAAATAGCCAGACGTGATTTCTTTCTTTAAGCCTGATTTTGAAGTTGGATTAAAATAACCTGGCAACCACAAAATGAATGCTGTATCATCAGGGTCCAATTCAATGAATTGGAGGGAAAAAATAAACTTTAGGAGACCACGGTTGGACCCATATGCCTCTTATCTCATGGACACATCACAAGGCCTGATCCTACATGAATAAGGAAGTGTCTTCTTCATGCCAGTGCAGAGACCAAACACTTGTGATTGCTGATTCAAAGTGACAACTGCTGCTTCACTGAGCAATTAATTCCCCCTACTCGAGTTCTAAAAACAGCCAAGTCATAAACTGCCTCACATCAACTTTACCTTCCAGCCTATCTTTCCATTTACTGTCACTGAAGTCATTTGGAGAAGGTACTAGAACTGACTTCAGATGCCCTACAGGCATTCTGGTCTAATCCTGAGGCTCTGAGATGAGAATTCCTTCTTCTCTCTTTGATACCTTGGAATCCTCTTACCTCCCGATGTAAAGCTCATGTATTTCTGGTTGTTGACCGTTTCTTTGGAATCGTAGAATTTGAGAACATCCAGGACGGCTTGTGGGTTCTTCTTCTGTTCCAGTTTTGTTATGTTGGAGGTTTGGAGTAACCGTGCCCACTGCTCAGGGATTCCCTGTGGACAACCAGAGGGAAAGAATGGCAGCTCAGAACATTCAGCAGCTGCATTTTCATGTTCCAGTAAAGTTCTTCACCAAGAAGCCCATGCTACCTGTAGGATTACACTTGGGAAACTGGAGTGACACTCTAGATTTAAAGTTAGTAACTTAATAATGCAATCATTCTCTTCTCTAATTAAAACACATAGGTAAAACTAGGATCCAACTTAAAAAGGGTGGGTGGGAGTATGACTGTGATAGAAAAAAAAAGCGCATGAAAATCACCTCCATATTAATTCTGCTCATCCATGAAATGATGTTTACGGCTTAGCTTATTTTTTCTGGCGACTCAGGGCAGACATAGCAAGACTTCTCTAAATTTGTGCACAGTATAGTATAGTGCAGATAAATGGATTTTATATGACTAGAATCACATAAGCTCTTTCTGGGCATGTAGTAATCGGAAGATCTTTCCGAATGGAAGAAAAGCCTCACCCTTGGGCAGTTTCCACTTTGCGATTACAAAATGTAATTTTTGGGGGTGGGTGCTCTAGGGCTTTAATACAGAGGGGGATTGAGAGGAGGCAAAAATAGAATAGAGGAGGAGCAACAGCCAGGAGGTGCTAAATAGTTTCTCCTCACCTCCCTCCATCCCCTCCTCCCCACTTTGCTCATTGGCCACATAGAACCTGGGGACTGTGACACCCGTGGCAAAGCCTTGTGAGAATTGGCAATACTCTAAAGGATTTAGAGCAGAGAGGAGGGAGCGTTTGGAACTCGAACCCGGGACAATTGCACCAATTACGCTGAAAGATTAGCTTCGCGTTGAGCGTTGAGCCTTCTTTCCTACACGTTCAGCCTACGGATGCCCCCATTTTGTAATTGTCCAGCCTCCAAGGGCAACTTGGAGTGAGAGACAGACACACTGTTCCTGGAGTGCATCTAGACACAATTTGCGTGGCCTTGCCCTCCGAAGTCTCGGCAAAACAATGTGTGACGTGGGCCTCCAGAGTTTGGGAATGACAACGAAAAAGTGAGATAAGCCAAGCAACAACTCTACTGCACACACATGAACCTGCTGCGCAGTGCTATGACATCTCAAAGAAGCACTTTGATGCAAGCTTCTTTTGGGCCTGTGACGCACCTCTGGGAGCTTCCCTGGGCACATCTGTGAGCCATAGAGATCTGGCTGTAATGGACGTAAATAAAGAAAGAAAAGAAAGTTAAAACAGAATGTGGGACAACTTAGAAGGTGGGAGGAGATGAAACCAATGGGTCTGAATGGGGGGGGGTCATCCCTTCTCAAATGGGGCGGTTATGAAAATCGAGAGGTCTTAACTCCATCAAGGGCAGGACAGGTTAGGACAACAGATTGCAGGAAACAGAGGGGGAGAAAAAAGACAACGTTCTCAAGTTGGGACGCGTAATTCCACTTGGGGCCAGGTGTTTCCTCCATAAATACACAATAGTAAGAATTACAGTTAAAGGACTGGAGAAATTACCAGAAGGCAGAAACATGACTTTGGAGGGAAGAAGGATGGCATCATGAAAAGTTTTGACGATAATTTGTAAGTCTGTGTTTACGACTGGGTGATCACAGGTAGCCAATGGCCATGTGATGAACTTACAAATTTCAGTTCCCAATTCTGGGTAACAATTTCCTGTTTCACAGAGGAAGTGTCTGTGTGGCTAAAATGGACAGGATGGTGACACAGGAATGCTAAATTTCACTGCATTCTCATTGATGCGATTCTTCTGCAAGATGCAGTGAGAAAGTCATGACTGGTTTAGGGAAAACTAGATTAAGGATTTCCCACACAGTCAGACTCTACCTTTGAGTTTCTGTAGACCAGGGGAAAAAGGGAAACCATTGCATTTCAAAGCATATATGAACAATTTCCATTTTAGTGCTACAGTTCTGAAGTCCTGGCTTCCCACAAAATGAGTTCAGATATAAGGTAACAACTTTGTCTAAATTAAGAGATTGTCTCCAAAGCTACAGAAACATGCTTCGACCCAACTGGTTTGATTTGGGATACAGGTCTTTGATTCCTGGTATTTGGGGTTACTCCAAGCACAGTGAAACAACACTTTGACATGCATTAATCACGCAATTCGATGCTAAAGCCTTAAGCCACATATTTGAATTCAGGAGCCCATGCATGATCCCAGTTCTGATTCTAAGTGCAATTAATAGCATTTGGTTAATACTGTCATGGCCAAAGGAGTTATTAAGTGTTACAAAACCAGGTATGCATTGCACATAACAACTAGGGCAGACATCACTGGCATGATCATTACCGTAATTATCAGAATATTCTGTTATTATACATTCTGATGGCACTTCTAAACTTTTGTGATAAATCAAAGTCTCGTGATCACTAGACAGCAGGGAAACATGCTGTCAATTGCAGAAGATCCTTCAGACAACTATACTTACCCCATGACTACCCTGCTGACATCATTTCTTGTTTCTTTGAGAAGTTGAGATAAACTAGTAGATCAATGAGACCTTACACTTAAATTTGAATGTATGCCCAAAAGGGACATCATCAGAAAGCCATCTCATTACTCCAGATTGAGGTACAAATCCCAAAAGTTAAGACAGCTAATGGAGACCTAGAAGTATGAGCATCAGAAGCAGGAGCACATTTCAATGCCTGACCACGTGTACAAAAACAACCAGATGTACAACAAGCTGGGGATTGTCCGGTGTAGCCCAGGAAAATGGCAGCATGATACAACAGGCCAAGCATTTATCTTATAAGAATGATCATGTATATCACTCATACCATTTTTCCCTCTGATTCACTGGAAGCGACCGTCACAGGTCTAGAGGTCTGGAAGGGGGAGTTCTGAAGTATTTGGGACAAAAATGGCAATATAAAGGGTAAGGACTTTTCATAGTTTAATACCCCAAATCTCACCTCCCAACCGAATTTGAATCTCAAGGTCCAAGTGTATAACCAGGTGTACAAGGTTATATGGACCAACTAGCCATAGGACAATCATCAAGGGGCACACCAAATAGGCATCCAAGCATTCATAATGACAGGCCCTTGGAAGACAACTGAACAAGACAGTTCAACAAATTGCTCAAAATTCAACCTAAGCAACAGCAATAATCAAATTTGGCACTATGCCCCCCACCACACGTGCCTGTGCACATACGCAAGCATGCACGCAATACATTAGTGGTACTGTGGCAAATAGGACCCAATTTTAAATGCTACCACCAAAATGATTTTAAAAGCTTATTATCATTGGGCAGTTTTTAAAGTTGATAAACCATAAACGTAAACCATAGGTGAAAAGAATTAAAAAGGACAGAATTTGGTGTCTTTAAATACAATGTGTGGACAAATAGTTTCAAAAGACCACAAGAGGACAATAAATGCATCAGATTTCCAAATTTAGCCTGTTGTCTGTCCATATCTTCAAAGGATTTCCAACAACTGCTTGCATCCAAACAGATGTTTTATTTTAAATTGGGTGCGGGGGAGGCGGTGGGGGGGGCAGGTGTTGGTTTGGTTGGGTTCAGTTGTATCAATCTGTTGGCTAAAATTGGAAAGAGTGCCTGTCGCATATCCCACCCCCAGCCCTCTCTGGTGGGTTCTTTGGGTTCTAACCGATGGCCAAGTGATAATGCAGTCAGCCAAATGATGGTGATTCACTTTTTTTCATTTCCATTCAGAACCCCAAAAGAACAAAGAAATAACTCAAGATAGATGGTATCATAAGATGTCAAGCAAGTTGGAAAGTGCAGAAAAAATTTAAAAAGCAAATTAGAAAGGAACCAGAATGTCACATGAGAATAGTGGAGGAGAAAGCTTTCACATCAGACCATAAAAAGGAAGGAAAAAAAAAAGTGGCATGAGAACAATAAAACATAAGAAAAGTTAATGCAGAAGAAAAGCACACAGAAAATAAAACAGGTCAAAACTGGAAGCATAATGTTCTTAAAATAAAAAGAGGGAACAGTTAATAAACCACATTTATAAAGTTGAAGTGCTTTGACTGTTTCAAACGTCAAAAAAGTTGTAGTATTTTTGTTTAGATTACAAAAATCATTATTATTGTTTTTGGGGGGTGGTGACAGTGGTAATGGTAGTGGTGACAGCAGTCAAGGCCATTTGAATAATGTCTCTGACTCCACGGATGAAATTGGTTAAATCCTACCAGTGTCTCAACTTTATCAACATCAGTATTTCTTTACGTTCTCTTCTACTTTGTATTGAGAGTACAGAAATAATCAGCTCACGTTACTTTGCAAGGCCAAGATGTTTACTCCGTTTTGATTTTATTCTCATATTGCATACTTCCAGAATTGGGGGGAAAAAAAAAGGGCAATTTGGCTGTCAATTCAGAGACATGGTTTGCTTCTCCAAATCCAGTTAATTTGTCCCCCACCCCTTTTTGGTTCACTCAGTCATATAAGTTTACTTATTAACCATCAAGTTATGAAACAGAAAATTTAATTATTTTACCTCTAAAATTATTGGTTTTAGAACCCAAGATTCAGTGGTGATGATATCATAAAAGACTTTTTTTTTCTGAATAAAAGTACTCATTATCTCAGAATGTACATTTTTATTGAGATCCTTACTAGTACAGAAAAAGGTAGTTGATCTTCCTGGGGACATATTTCTAGCCACATCTTTTCCTTCATTCATCTAAAAACAAAGATGCCAGATCTTGAAAAAAAAAAGTACAAAATGATAGATCTTGTGTTATTTGAGCACTACAGATATCCAAAGAAAGGCTGAGTCTATAGCTCTGGTCTTTCTGGAGAATTTGTATTGGTATTTGTTGTGGATTGCATATATTTAAAGCACATAACCACTAAAGCACACAAGATATATTCATAAATTTTCTTCCTGAAACATGGGGTTTGTTGTTTTGAAGGCCTTTGAAATATACCTGTTAATAAGCCTAAAAATAAGCCATGTTCTTGAAATCAAAGGGAAGACCAGGTCAGTTGTACAGAGATTTTTGGTTAGTGTGGTTAGCTTATCTGAGTAATCCAGGTTCTAATGTCAAGCCTGAATTATTCAGATGGACTGTCTTCACTGGCCAAGTTGAGTCAGTTGATTCTCTGATTCACTTCAAACAATAAAGAACAGACTCAAAAGAGTCTCTACCAGGACTACGTCTCCTGTGCCATAGAAAATTCGCATTTCCAATCACATTGAAGACTAACTGCGATTAGACATTTTTACGATGGATAAAATAATTTTTCCCAATACTCTTGCCACTCTCTAGTTCCAATGGGGATTGACTTAGTATAGTCCATCTTCCTTGAAATCATCCAAAGCATCAAGCCTGACATTCTGGGACACGGGCAGGCTTTCTTGAAACCTATTTTCACAAAGGAATTTTTTCATGGCTTGCAAAACAATAAGGAGCTTACTTACAGTGAACTCCCCGGTGACAGCATCAAACCCCACATGAATCGTATGTTCAAAGTCTGAAGGAAGAGAGATCTCTGGGCGTTCTTTCTCCTTCTTCTTATTGGCTAAAGGCAAAATGTTAACAGGTATTTATTGGGGACATAGTTTTGTCATCTCTAAGTTGTACAATTAGGTTCATCAAAAACAACTACAAAGCTGAAAGACAACTGAATCCAACACAAGCTTAATAGGATTTAGCTCCAGAAATTATAATTTCATCTGCAGAAGTAGCTGAGAGTTTGACAAAAAATATTACATCCAGATGATTTACAAATTCCCCAACTCCAGTTCCAACAAAACTTGCAGTCACATTGATTTATGTCCTTTACCAGTCTAAAAATGTAACCAACAGATATCTAGGTATATTGTGGTTAACTGGCTTTGTTGGATTGAATAGGACTTACTAAAGAAGCAATTCATTATGATCAGGTCAAGCTAAGTCTCACTATTAGAAAAAAAAAGAACATAAAAGTGCTAAAGCTGTCTATAAAAGCATTAATGAATTGTTTCCATGTTAACCATAGCGAAATAGAACTTATTTATGTTTACATTATGAAGCATATTTTAATACACTCTTTGTCTTTTCAGTGAGAATACTACTGCAAACCATTAATGTTACACATCTTTATCATTAAAAATGTTTGTAATCATTTACTCCTCAGCAGTTTGCTAGTAAGAAAATATAAATGGCTGCTTTTTACTGAATTAATTTTACTTAGTTCTTAGTAACCTCAAATCAATGCCTTGGCTCAGTCATTCCAGTTTGTAGCTATCTCTCCATGTTCCTAATATTTTTTTTTGTCATATTAGCCATTCAAAATCATAGTCCTCAAGTAGCGGATTTTTCATAGTGACACAACTATGAAGAAACACTTCCACAGTTAATATGTCAAACCTTTAAAGATATTATCACTGGAGAAATTAAGTTGGGAACTGTAATGAAATTAGTTTATCTTGGAATAGATTCCATAAGGAAGTTGCCGTGGAAATGTAAAATGGCATTAGGTAGGTTCCATAATAGCCACATAAGCACATCAGAGCACGTATCCCTGATTGGGGTGCATTTTACACTCAAAAGATAATAAAAATACTCACCCTCCTAATAATGGGAAAGTCAGCATGATTTGCCCAATTGAAACCAGTCAACCTCAGAATTGCCAGGGTGGCCAACTTAGAACACTCTGGTTCAAATAGATGTTTCCTTGGCCTGAATTTTAGACAACATTCAATTAACCACATATGGATTACTGGTTTTATGGGTTACCCAGGATAAATTTTCAATTCAAAACCTTTCACATTCAAATGTCATTCTCATGGTTTCTTTTCTCTTTCTACCCTCTCTCACTACTCCGTATCTCCAGCCAGATGACAGAGAGATGGTGCAGAAATACAGACATTCAAGGAGTAAGAAGATTAAGATACAGGATTAGGAAAGAAAGATTGGAGGCAGGGGTGGGGGGTGGGGCAACAAGGGTCACTCAAAGCCTTTGTCTGGCCACAGAACACATTAGGACTCATTTTGAAAAGTATATATGTGCCATTCAACTTGACTTCAGCTTGGATGCTGTGTTTACAGAAAGTCTGCTTTATTGAATATGAAGCTTAGACCTTTTTATGTGGGTACCTACTTCTGCTGTGTGTTTTGGTTCCATAACCACCACTCATACTTGCTTGGCTGCCAGGCCATTATCCTAGCCACTCTCTGATTGTGTCCTTGTTTTTTCTCTTCCCTGCTCTCCCATCCATGTTGGGTGTAGCTGACTCTCTCTCTTTTTACTTCCTTCACAGTGTGGTCTTATTCTCCTCCTCCATCGGTGCCATTCTTTATTTGATTGGCACTGCTTGCCCTTCTGCCTTTTCTAATGCAGTCTTTGGCCTTTAACAGTCCTTTCTTTGCACTCATCCCTCTTGGATGGTATCTGATGCCAGAAACTAACCCATACTGGGTAACTTCCTGATCCGTGGTTGGCTAGGGATGATCTGGGCATTGTGTGACCAAATGTTTTACACAATTCAAGAGGAATGTTCCCTTTAAGGAAAAACACACTACAAAGACTGCCAGTTCCCCAAGGCAGTGAGGAACTCTAAAGAAGTGTTATTCGCTTCATAGTTAATCTACTCCTAGTGACAGGTGACTCTCTTGGGGTCAAAGACAGCTCTGAAATTCTGAAGAAGGCTGTGGAACTCCTGCCCATAATTACACTGTACACATATACACAATTTTGCATATAATTTCAAAGGCTTAAAACTCCCCCGACTCTAGGTTGAGAACCCATAGCTCAATCTATGACTCCAATCACTGTATCAGCTTGCATTCATGACCTCTCTTGCTAGCAGTCTCTCTTTACTTTCCATTAGTATTGGTCGAATGTTTGAGGACTATTGACTTAGCCCTAACCACTTCACTTGGGCTGAGCTATATCAATTGGCTTTGTGGAGTCTCTCTAGAAGGCTACCCATTTGCCAGTCCCTCACCAGCCTGATCATGCCCTTCCCTTCACTCAGGGCTAAGCCTATCAAAGGCGGGAAGCCCAAACTTACTCTTCCTCCAAGTCCATGTTCTCTCAGTGAAATGATACCACTAACCACCCAGATCAGAAAGGATTCAGGCTTTAGACACCAACTCTTTTGGGAGGCCCTGAGCAATGAAAAGATTATGAAACCCCACTCCAATATGTAATTCAAATAAAAACAATAGTAAAGCATAAAAAGGTTAAAAAGTCCAAAAAGTTCTGCTACTCCTATGGTGATGAAGTCTTTCTAAAATTTACATATACAGACTAAAAACGTGGCCAGGTTTTGGGGGCCCCTGATTTGTGGGGCCTGCAGTCCCTGCTTACTCTCGTTATTGGGTAATTCAGCACTGGCCCAACTTCCCAAGCCATAAATTTGGCAGCTTCTTTGATTGCCACTGTATTTCTACCTTAATTGGTCACCAAATTCTAGTGTCTCCCACACTCATCTTGAATCTATGTTCTTCCTTTCTTCCCCACAAACCATCACCTTAGTCTAAGGTACCATTATTTCTCACCTGGTCTTATTGCCTCCAATCTTGCCTCCTGCTCTTCATTACTTTGTAATGAACACAAATCTGACCACATCCCTGTCATTAAGATCCATAAATGACCCCCCATTGCCCATATGGTAGAAGTTCATGCTCATTAACATGCTACCCAGGGGCCTGCACAATCTGCCCCAAGCTTACCTCTCTGTGGTCTATTCTTGCCATAACTCCCACTGTCCCATACCCACATCATGCTCCTTAAACAGCTAGATTTTTCTCTTACTGCCAAGACTTTCATGCTAGGCCAAGTCCTGGCAACTCTTCTATCTTACCAAGATCCCTCACCCCACAGTTTGGATGGATAACTCCCATTAGTCCTTATTCTTGAAGACTCACTCACTCTTGGGCTTCCTCTTCTTTGGGAAGTCTTGTTATGTCTTCCCTTTGCAGATGAAGTTAAATGCCCTTCTCTTCAGGCTTCCATAGAACTGTCCAGTGCATACTCAGATCTTGGCATGGATCAATACTGGATTGTTATTTCTTCTTTATATACCTGTCTCTCTAGATAAAATTGGAGATACTTGACAGAAAAGACTGTATCTTATTCATTCTCACATCCCTTAGCACCTGGCTTATGTCTGCACACTTAATGATTTTAATTTAGGGAACAGTCACCATGTGCAAAAAGTGCTTCTAGGGTCATCTCATTTAATTTCCATCACAATCTCATTAGGTAAACCTTATTAGTATTGTATTATTGTTCTGTAGATGAGGAAAGTGTGAGTAAGGTTCAACCACATACCCAGGGTTATAGAGCTAGCAGGTGTCAGAGCCAGAATTTGAACCTAGGTCCCAACCATATCTACAGAGCCCACATTCTTAACAGCTACACCATTTATTATTCAGTATCATTTAAAAAAAAACAACATTTTTGAGTCCTAGTCTTCAGTAAATATGATTGAATGGTGCTTAGATGAGAATTTTTTGTCTCTTTTCCTTTACACTAAAATGTCTGTCTGTATATCCTTCCAGAAAATTCTATTGAGTATTGGTTATTTACATTAAGATACAGTCTAACCTGAATCTTGGCCCAGTAAGACTCAGCCTGATCAGCTCTGGGATGATGTCTGCAGAGAGCAGAAAACAAATGAGTACCACTTTCTAAGTGTATCATCCATACCCTACTGGAACATAGAACTAAGGCCACAGGTTGCCAACTAGACTACAGTCTACAAAGTGTTTGGCCTTGGGACCCTCTGGGTGTGCATGAGTTCTGGCTATAACTCCAGGGGCCAGTGAACCACCAGAGAGTCTCTCATCTTGACACCTTTCTCCATCTCACTTACATGTTAAAGAAAGAAAAGCCCCCTAGTTATCCATCCTCCTCTACGCCCTACCCCAATCAATGTCCTGCATTTTCCCCAGTACCTACAGCTTATTCCATTACCAATTCCCTAAACCTTCAACCTGTTCATTAAATGCTCTCTTCACTTCTTGCCTCAGGTTTCAAACTGCACTGTGCATCACTCTCATTGGGAAAATTTAGAGAGAGGGAGGTGTCTGAACCTCACCCCGAGAGATTCAGATTCAGTTAGTCTGGGGCAGAGCCCAGAACCTTTAATTTGTAAAGCTCTTCTGCTTTCTCCATTAAGCAACTGGGGTGGAGAAAAACAACTTCCAATTCTACTCTCCAATGGGGGTACCACTTCCTCAGATAATCCTGATGGACGCTGCTCATTCTTCCTCATCCCAAGTTCTTAGGTGTGGAGGAATGAGGCAGGGCGGGGTTTCCCCTTTCATTTCAAAGCTGTTGATCTGAGATCAGTACTTCTGCACTTGCCTACAAAAGCCCCTTCTTTGAGGTTACTGCCATTCAGTGCTTTTGGCCAAGTCCCCTTATCCATTGAGGACTCAGGCTCCTGGTCTTCCTTCCTACCCTCAGCGCTGCCATCACTCTGTGAAACGTGATATATATAAATGGACATCTCTTTCACACTCTTTCCTTTTAACTCCTTGACCTCCCTCAACACTAATGAATTTCAGCTCCCTTCTAGTTCAATC